TATAAATGAACAATTACAATTATTAATTATTTCTAACAATTAAATAAACTACACATATATATTTATTTTAATTTTTTTGGGTGCGGAGCCATAGCGATCATATTTAAATTAGGTTGAGCAATGCTAGCAACACTCGCCATTTGCACTCTCCAGCCAACACTTCCATTTTCATTGGGCCACGTTATGTTGATTTCCGGAGAGGTTATCAATTTCATATCCGCAAGCTTACGTGGCCCAATAACAAAGCATGTGTTTTTTTTTAACAGCAAATATTGATATTTATTGATAAACAGAGTACAAGGTGCACCCAAACTCTTAAACATCAACAGTTGAGAGACATCAATGTACGAGAGTGGGCAAACCCTGCCCAATGGTGTCGACACCCACATAAAGTGTCGACACTATACCCGTGTCGAATTTATGTCCTCCTTTACAGATTTTACATAACTCCCTGTTCTGATCATCAAAAAACTTCCACTTTTCAAATCTACTGTCACACAAAATCGTTGAGCATGTATTTACTACAGCTTAACTAAATGCTACAGTAAAATACCTGCTCAAGCCTTCATGCCCCAAATAAATTTCAACTTGCACTCCGTTCTGCAGTGTAGCCTTCTTTTTGTTGTTTAAGAAACATTTTCATTGCTTGTTTGTGGCTTCTCATTGACAGAGCACACGCTACAGGGTTAACCTTCCACTCATTAAATGAAAAGGCACAACCCTTTATCTTATTCTTGATCCATAAAAATGATTTGGCTTGAATCATATCTAGTAATCTTCCCCTGATGATAGCTTCATTATCAAATACCTTACCATTTCTCCAATACCATAAATACCATGATACAACGAGAAAGATATAAGCACCCATCTCCTTCCCTACTACCCTACCCAAATCGTATACAAAAATGTCTGCCACTCCTCGTACGATATTTGGCATTACCATCTTCATGTTCCACCACTGCAACACCTCTGTCCACAAAACCCATGCTTCCTTACACATACTAAATAAATGGTTAGCCTCCTCAATTATGTTATGGCACAAAACACACATTAATTCCTCTTCCTGCAAATGCACCCCTCGCTTTCTAATGTTCCACTTAGTTGGAAGCTTATCAAGACATAAACGCCATCCAAAGAAAGACACTTTGGATGGTACTAATCTGCACCAAATAACCTTACACAAAGCATGTGTTGGCTGGAGAGTGCAGGAGGCAAGTGCCCCTAGCACTGCTCAATTAGGTTATATATTTAAGGAATATCACCTAAGTAACAATAGGGGTGAGCATGAGTAGGTATGGGTCAGGTATTAGTCCAAATTTATATTTGATTTAAATAGTAATAGGTATAAAATTTTGATATTCAATATTTACTTAG